TATATATATATATATATATATATATATATTTCAAATAATATTTTTATCGACTTCGAGCATCGGTTAGAATTATTTGACACTTTTTGTGTGAAATCATTACAAAGAGTTAAAGGTAAATTAACAAGCCAGTAAAATGATTTCAATTGATATTTTAATTCCAATAGTTGTAAAGTTAGATGTATGGGCTTAATTTTCTTTATTTTGCTCTGATATGTAGTTTTCTACTAGCTACGGATATTATTGGCACTGTTTGCTCATTTAGCAAATAACTTAAATCCAGGGCCCCAATCTTTATTTCAAACAATTTGAAATTATGCATTATAAAACTGCTAATTATGTACCTAAAGTAAAAACTGCTTAAACCAATAATATTTATGAGGATGTTAGATATAACTGTTACAATTCCACTGTCAACACCAATTTAACAATTTTGTTTCTTATAAAATAGCCACAACAAAACACTTTTTCGGACTTCAGAGGTATTTTGACAAACCTTTAATCAGACCTGACTAGCAGATGGCTGTTTCCGAGCAACGAACTAAGCTAGAAGTTATAAATTTGGTGACAGCGACTGTACTCGGTCTAGAAGTTGACACTTAGCTTCCACAGACTATGTGGTCATAAGTAAATTATTCAAGAGTATGCTAGCACTTTCTCCATGTGGGGATGGCACAGATGCACGTATTAGAGCAATACAAAAATTATCTGGATTTTTTTCTCTACAGATCTTCAGAAACTAGATATCAAGAGCTACCTTGGCATATTCTCTCTACCTCCGGTGTATACATCGCTTTTCAGCTATCCAAAGTAAAAAACCAGCAAATAGCCAAAAGCAAGATTTCTTATTTTTGTTCATCATCATCTTTCTTCAACAGGCCTAGCACCTACCTAGTTCTAGCAATAACTATAATTTTATCATTTGATAGAGTAAAACAGTCTTCACAATATTTGACTACCTATTTTATGAATTAGAAAACCAGGGTTATCACCTAGTAACCCTGTGGGGGTGCTAGGCTAGACGTGCAGATTTTACAATGAGAAATTAAAAGTATAAGGAGCTGCTAAAAGCAGCTCAATGTAGGGGGTCTGGGGGCATGCTCCCTCCAAATTAACATCATAATATAATTTACAGTTGCTCTACAAGTAAAAGTGGGGGTGCCACAGCTCTTCTGGTTCTAATGCCTATGCACAAGCAATTTTACTTAAATAGTTCAGAAAAATGTGTTTATAAAATTGATAGTGTCCATAGATTGCATTGGTATTTTGGGGTTAAATTGTAAGTGGAGCCTAGAGATGCTACATTTTATTTTAACATTACGAATACCATTTACCATTGAACTGTTGTTATTAATCAGCACAAACGAGAACCTATGAATAGGAAGTGAGTAGTAAATAGCTGTACATCATTGGAGTGTTTGGCAATATTCCTTCGTGGCTTAAGAAGTACATGGATAATATATCAGTATTATCTATATAATTTTTCTTAAAGTAGTAAATAAATGAAAAGTTGGAAAAATGATAATAAATATTTAGAATGTTTATACATTTGACAAACTAATATAGTTTGTATAATTAACAGAAGAAACCTTCTTAGCGAGAATTAGTGAAACTTTGATTTTTTGGTAAGTTGTTTAACAGTTAAGTTTGCTGTTGGTGCTTACAAAGTTTGTGAAACATGTACACAAAGGATAAGTAGCGAGTATAAGTAAGAAATATAGCTTTATTGTTTAAAAAAAAAACAATAACTAATTACCTGTTTTAATTGTTATGTTATATTGTTACTTGAATAATTGGTTCTTCATATTCACATCCTCTGTATTTCTTGATTGGGAATTTAGTGCAGTGATATTGAGCCACAAAATAAAGACAATAGACGAGTCAAAGTTTCACTAGACAATCCTGTGTTTATCCAATAAAAAATCAGTTTTAAGAATATCTTCTAGAAATACCTGGAAATCATTTGTACTTTATAACATTGTTGGAGTTAGAATATTGTAGCAATTCCTGTGAGTTATAACAAAATAGTGCTAGGTCTACACCAGTAGTAAAGAAAAAAAAGCAAAAAAAAAAACCAGCAAAGGTCTTATACTTAAGGACCTCTAGAAATGGACAAATTATATGAGAAGCTTTTGGTAACTCTAAATCTGAAAATCCACAGAGGTGTTTTATAGTATAAATGACAAGTAATTACCTCCCAATCCAGTGGGAGAAAACTGGGGAAGTAATGGTTTTATCTGATGTAAACAAACATGTATACAAATATCGTTGCATTGATGCAAAAGTATCAGTTGCACTAAACAGCCTAGCATCATAAAACTAGGAAAGTAGCTAGAAAACCAATACATAGCTTCATTTCGTTTAGGGTACTTAGAGGTTGGTTAATTTATCCAGTTCCGGCCAAAATGTATGGTTATCTTTGCTCTCAAGGCTGTTGACTGGCTAACCTTTGGTTGTCATTGTACACGCTCAGCAAATGTGGCAAATGAACATACGTAATGGTATAAATATTTTATGGAGACTGTGCTGTACATGTAGGCTAAACTGTCAGGAATGTGCTTTGATAAATCAAAATGAGGCCTGATTACCAGTCTATTCAGTAATCAAATAAAATTCAGTTTAATGCTGTTTAAAGTTTCTACAATTTACTTACTGGTCTGTATTCATGATTTATCCATATATAATGGATTAATTTAAAATAATTTGACTGAGTTGGTATTTTTATAACTCCTGTGAACCCTTACTGCCACCAGTTAGCTTGAGGACAAATTCACGAGCATGAAGCTTGCACATCATGGGGCATATTTTGAAATCTCTTGGTACATTTGTCCTAATCACAATGGTACGTATGCTGTTATTGGCATTTCACTTGGTACATTTGTCCTAATCACAATGTTACGTATGCTATTATCGGCATTTCACTTGATACATTTGTCCTAATCACAATGTTACGTATGCTGTTAGTGGCATTTCACTTGATATATTTGTCCTAATCACAATGGTACGTATGCTGTTATTGGCATTTCACTTGGTACATTTGTCCTAATCACAATGTTACGTATGCTGTTATTGGCATTTCACTTGGTACATTTGTCCTAATCACAATGGTACGTATGCTGTTAGTGGCATTTCACTTGATACATTTGTCCTAATCACAATGTTACGTATACTGTTATTGGCATTTCACTTGGTACATTTGTCCTAATCACAATGTTACATATGCTGTTAGTGGCATTTCACTTGGTACATTTGTCCTAATCACAATGTTACATATACTGTTATTGGCATTTCACTTGGTACATTTGTCCTAATCACAATGTTACGTTCACTATTATTGGCATTTCACTTGCGGGTCTTGATGTATATATTTTGCACATGATGATACAGATGTTAAACAAATATATCTTCTTTAATGATGAATAATCTTAGGTTGCTCAAAATTCCACCATTCTAAAAATTAAACTCTAGAAGATTAGGGCTTACATTTTTTCTAGTTTTGGATGTTTTTGTAAACCTGTGGAGATATTAATTAAAACAGATATATCAAAAGCAATTACAGTTGATTTTTTTTTTTAGTAGGAATTATTCACAGTTATTGTTCAGCCAATACGAACGTTGTCTGTTATTACTTACCATACAATTAATTTTAATGAGACAATAATGTGAAAAATTTATATTATTATTGCGACAATAATTATTGTGAATAACTTGGAAACTTTTCTTTTCTTCTTGTTTAATTCATCTCAAACGATTATCCATGTTTTGTTTGTTTGTTTTTTTTTCAGTAAATTGAGTATTTAGTGTATTTAAAGAAGTTCTTATTAAACCTTAAGATTTTGTGGTGGAAGGGCTTTATTAACATTTAATATGTGTTTTGTGCCTTGAGTCTGATTTAAGTTTACTGTATTGTGTTCAGGTGTTAGCGCAACATTAGGTGAGAAAACCAGTAAAAAATCTACATCAAGCCCAGAAGGAGATGAACATAAATCTCAGAGCTTTCAGAAATCATCACATGCAAAAGTAAGGGTAAAGAAAAACAATGACTAATGAAACCATTATATAAAAGGTTATTAATAATACCCTAATTATAACTTAATGTTATTAATAATAATACCCTGATTATAACTTAAGGTTATTAATAATAATACCCTGATTATAACTTAAGGTTATTAATAATAATACCCTGATTATAACTTAAGGTTATGAATAATAATACCCTGATTATAACTTAAGGTTATTAATAATAATACCCTGATTATAACTTAAGGTTATGAATAATAATACCCTGATTATAACTTAAGGTTATTAATAATAATACCCTGATTATAACTTAAGGTTATGAATA